AACTATCAGAAGTGGTATCTAAACTCAGGCCTTCTGCCTCCAAAATTTCATACTTTTTTCTTTTTGCTATGGATCTGCAGTAGAGAGCTGGTATGGAGAAAGTGCTCACTTGGTCTCTCAGCATTCTGTCTTCGTTTTGATGTGGGTATTTTGGTTTGGTTTTTGGTGCTGCCAGTCAAGTGCTCTACTACTAAGCAACACCTGCAAAACCCTATCTTCCTCTTTCTTGTTCCATCTCTCCCCTTCAAAGGAGTATACCAGTAGTTGGGCAGTCATCAGGTATGTGGTTTGCTTAGAAGCCTTTGTAATTGCTAGAAATACAGGAACGTGAAATCTGTTGGTTTTATTATCCTGCTGAATTGTTGTTTACCAAGTGCTGCCCCAAGCTATGAAGTCTGACTAAAGATTTGTCCAAGTGGGTGTTTTCATGGAGCAGCCAGTTCTTATCTGTATGTATATGTATGTGTATGTATATATATATATTGCTTACATATTTGACATCATACCACATATTTTACTTACTCTTTCTCTAATGTCTTTTTATTCCATCCCTTTTTTATCAGGGAAAGATGTCTCAGAATTTCCATACCAGCTATGTTGAAACTCTTGGAAAGTTGGAGACACAGTATTGTAAATTGAAGGTGAGTTTTGATTGGTTGACTTAGATTCTGCTCTTGGAAAATCTAGTTCTCTCTAAACAACTCTTCCTTAATTCAGAAAGTACGTAGTTTGGCTCTGTTTTGGTTTTCTGTTTATTAGATTATATCTTTTACTGTGCAATTGTTCATATGTGTTGTAACATTTTTGCAGCATTGTCTCCCTGTGTAGCTTATGCTGGACTTAGTTTCCTCAGCCTCCTGAATGCTCATATGAAATACGGGAATATGCTACTATACATAGCTTCTATTGTCTTCATTTGCCTGTAACCATTACTGGAAAATTGCAAATAAGCAGAACCTATCCTAGCTATCCAGAACAGTGGCCATATGTGTTTTGAGACAGCAAAATTAAAAATTTGAGATTGATGGAGCGGTGACTCCCCTCCTGTTGTTTTTCATTCTTATCTATTAAGATTGTCCTAAGTAGTACAGGCTAAGATAAGTCTTTATGCAGGGGCCACCACAAAGACTGTAAGTTCCATCTTCAACATAGGATTGACAGTGACTCTGGAAGTTTTGTATCAAATCGTGTACAAGTTGAATTCATGGAGAAGAACCCAAATATTTAAAAAGCGTTCCAGGGAATGGGGATGAGGCTCAGGGGTAAAGTGCTTGCCTAGCATGCCTAAGGCAGCACTTTAAAACAATCAATCGCCAGCACTTTAAAAACAAAAAGTAGGATTAATTCATTTGGGGGGGCTAGTCTTTCCCGATATCAACTATACCATCTTCTCCAGATGCAAAGACTGGCAGTCTAATCTTTTAACTTTATCTTGCTTCGTCTAGGAGATGTCTAGCTTCCGAATGAGGCACCTTCAGAGCTTGCACAAATTTGTCTCCAGAGCCACCGCTGAGTTGATCTGGTTGAATGAGAAGGAGGAGGAGGAACTAGCATATGATTGGAGTGACAGCAACCCTAATATCCCATCCAAGAAAAACTACTTCTCTGTGAGTCTAGCACAGCAGGCTTGCCATGTTTATGTAATAGCAGAAGGAGACAGGGCCAGTCTACAGAGAGCCTGGGTTACTAGAGTTACACTCTGACAAATAGAAATGGGGCTCTGCTGTTTCATCTATGCTGTGAGAAGCATATACAGAGAAGCAGTAGAACCCTTGAATTAGTTTATTTAGAATGCATTTAGAAAGGCAGTATTTTGAGTGAGTAGAACAGCAGCCTGCAGTTGAGACATTTCAGAAATAATACAGCTTTGTGGTTAAGATTATAGGGTTTATAGTGAGGCAGACCTAAATTCAAGTTTTTATTTGTTTGCTAACTAGCTGTATGACTTTGGGCAAGTCATTTAGTCTCTCTGGCCTTTGTAAAAATGGGATAATAGCTACTTCAAAGGGTTGTATAAAAGATTGAGTAAGTCTTAATAAGCTAATCTAAGCAAAGCACTTTATTATAGAGGAGTTAGTTGTATTCTTAGGTTTCCATAAATTTTTGAATTCTTGTTAACTTATTTGGTAACATTTTGGTCTTGATATGTCAAATGGTCAGGAAAATTCAGCATTAATGGAGCAATGCCCTTTATTCTTTCTAGCAAAAGTAGACAATATTTTTTACTATTTCCATACTCAAGATTTTAAAGCATTTTCCAAGTCTTTATGCAGATGGATAGCTTTTTTTCTAGCTCTCACTTTGGTTGCTTTAATTCCATTAATCTACAGTTCTTACAAAATGTGAGCATCTCCTGATTAGAAAAGGACATGTGATTCTCCTGAAGTGAAGAAGATAGGCTGGGTACTATAGTGCTACAAACAGTCTGTGAAAACTGAAATTTGGCTATGACAGATTCTAAAAGCTAGTACTCTGGAAACAAAGGAGAAGAAATTAAATCTGATAGGAAGAGTTCATGGAAAGCTGTGCTTAAATTGGGTTTTGTTGTATTAATAGGATTTTGTGTCAGAGGAGGGCATTGTGAGCTGAGGGAATAGTCAGGCAAAGCCAGCTCGTCAGTGTTCTCTCCCTACCAGTATGCCATGTACTGGTGTGGTCATGGATGGACTCCAGCCAAGATTTTTCCTTTTCTCTGCTTCCTATGCTCATTCTGTGTTGCCTATCTGCTCAAGGATAGCTCAGGTCCCACTGTCCTTCGTGAATTCCTTCCCCTTGTTACCTTTTCTGAAATCCTCTAGCATGTGCAATTTATACATCCCATTTTGGTACCAATCCTGTTGTAGGCTCCTTAAATTAGGACAGGGAGCACTGTGTTTTCTTTATTGCTCTTTCTCCCTTAAGAGCATTTATTCCATAAAATTGAATTCAATTTGTAGGAGTTGACAGTGGAGCTGGAAGGCAAACAGGATGTATTTCGTTCTCTACAAGATACTGCAGAATTGCTCTCACTTGAGAACCACCCAGCCAAGCAAACAGTGGAGGTATGTGACTTTAAAATATGTGGAGGTCAAATGCTAAGGAGTTGGTATAAGAATACTGAAATGGAAGGCTTTGTTCTTCCTAAAGGCCTGGAGGAAGCGTGAGGGATTATTTGTTTTGGGTCTTCTCCCTTTTTGTTGCAGTCTATTTGGTACTCCCTTAGAAGCCTGCAAACAGTTTTGATAGTCTCAGTAGAGTATTAAGAGGAACAGCGTAAGAGACACTGACTCCTGGCTATGAGGAAAAGGACTTGCATCTATTTTTAAAACTGTCCAGACACATGCACTTGAGAGGCAGAGGCAAGCGGATCTCTGTGAGTTCAATGCCAACTTGCTCTACATAGTGAGTTCCAGGCCAGCTGGAGCTGCAGGGAGACTCTGCCTCAAAAACAAAACTGTCTAGACATATCCTACTTCTTGTTTATATAGTGCCAGAGAAGGACCTGGTAGAAGAACCAGGAGGGATTTACTTATGCCTCTGTTTTTCTGACCAGCTCACTTAGTTATACAGAAATGGCTTTTTCTGGGTGACCCCTGGTAACAGAACAGTGTTGAATTAAAGACAAGCTCTTTTCTCCTGGAAAGCACTGCACAGTCACTTATTTCCATGTGGAGTCTTTGTCTTCTCTGTCAGTAGCAGAGTTGTACTTGGAAATAGCCTTACACCTATATTCTGAGTCTGTTAAACTCATATACACATGTGCTTGGTTGTTGCAGGCATATAGTGCTGCTGTCCAGTCCCAGTTACAGTGGATGAAGCAGCTATGCTTATGTGTTGAACAACATGTGAAAGAGAATACAGCTTACTTTCAGGTATGGTGGTGAGAGTGTGCGTGCGTGCGTGTGTGTGTTTTCATACTTAAGCTAAAGTTGAGGTAGTGGTGCACACATATAATGCCAGCACTCAAGGGATGGAGACTGGAGGATCAGAAGTTTAAGGCCAGCCTTAACAAGCTATATGAAACCTTGTCTTTCTAAAAAAAAAACAAGGCTAGAGAGATGGAGAGATGGTTTAGTGATTAAGGACAGTGGCTCCTCCTCCAGAGGACCTAGATTCAGTTCACAATACCCACGATTAACAACCAACCATACCTCTAGTTCCAGGGGATCCAACATCCTCTTCTGGACTCCACTGACACTGCACACAGGTGGTGCGCTTATGTATATGCAGACAAAATACTCACACACATACAATAAAGATAAATACATTTGAAAAAAAAAACAACCAAGCATCCATGTCAGTTATCTTTTACTGCATAAACCACATCTTAATAACTTAGTTGCTGAAAATATTAATCATTAGTAAATTCAGTTGGGTGAGTGCAGCTGAGTTACTCTTCTGATCTACAGTTCTCATCTTGCCTGGCATACGTGGCTGCAGACAGCTACAGACAGGAAGGGGGCTGTCTGATCCCAAATTGCATCACTCACATGTCTGACAGTTGGCTGGGTGGTACCATGCAAAGCCCCGTCTCTAGCATTCAGTAGCCTTCTTCACAAAGCGGCTGTTCTTCATGCAACAAGAGAGAACAATCCCCTGTACATGAGGACTTTTTCTGCATCTGTCACACTTTTTTGTGTGGCGGTGGTCAAAGCAAATCTCATGATCGTGCCCAGCTTCAAGGGGAGGAGACACACTGTTCCTCTTGATGAGAGGAACTGTAAAATATCGCCCCCTTCCCCTAACCCCTCCATCTGTCACAACATGAAAGAATGAATATTTTTCTTCAGGTGAGGGTAGAGGAGGAAATAAGCAATTTTCTCTGGTTTTACTCTAATCTTTTTCATCTTATAATCATATCAATGAAATAAAAGCTTCTAGGTATTTCATGAACCAGACCTCACTGCTAAGTGCTGTCACTAGACAGAAATCAGAGGAAAGAGGAGTGAAACAAGCTAACTTTTTTTTTTTTTTTTTTTTTTAAAAAAACTAAATTTTTTTTTAGGACCCAGTGGGGTTTTGTGGGAGTTATTA